TGCTAATACAGTAAGAATGAATAGCTTATCTTAAAGGCGAATAAAAAATTATTTAAAGCGCTTTATTACTATACTCATAGATTAAATAAACGCGAATAAGAAATGATAAATGGATGCATACTGAGTACTTTAATTAATAAATGATCACTGTATTTTACAAGCTAAATAAACGCGAGTTAATCTCTCTACACGGGTTGACCCGCGGTTGATACACCCATTCCATCCTGATTGCTACAACTCAAAGTGTCTACCCGCGGGTGACCCAGGTGGCACCCACCGGTGTCAAGCACTAGTTTGGTTAGTAAGTTTGATCAGACAGACTAATCAGATTCTTCGTTGAGAAGTGCTTAAGAACGCCCTTAAACAGAAGATGTATTTGTTTTCAAAAAAGGATATATTAATTTTATTTCGTTTCCTGACAGTTAATGATCTTTATTAATTGGAGTCTCCAAACACTTATTTTAGTGGAACGTTCCAATTTAGTATCCAACAGCCGGTTCTAATTCCCGAAAATTTACCATTTGAGTGCATGAAAGTGAAAACAAGAACTTTATTTAATGATTTACTATGATTGGTTACAGGTTTTCATTCACACACACTCATTTGTTATAATCATAATCTAAAATGCAGAAATGGCTAATATCGTACATACATACGTACTTACGTACTGTACATAACTGATAACACTGTAAATAACGATAATGAATTGTATAAAATAGTGATATAGAATACAGTACGTACGTACAATAGAGGGTTTCAAAATTAATAAATAAGTGACTCATTTCGACTATGTTGAATTATAAATCGGAAAAATAAAATAAGATTCTCTAATGTCAGAATTTTGCAAAAAATGCACATTCATAACTATCTTCCAATTTTTACTATCCGTGTTGAATACACAGAAACTGTATCAACAACATATCGGAAAACTCATAAAATTTACAAATACAAAGCAAATGTGACTATACACACTACTGGAGAATTATTGTCAAAGTCACTTGAAGAGTTTCTTAATTTAGGTTGTAAGAGCAATATGCAATGTGCGTTCAGACCAGAACGAGAACCAAACACACTTCCTTATAAATATGAATTCACATATAATGATAAACCTATACAAAAAACAGATACACTTGAAAAATTAGGAATTAAGATATGTATTAGTAGAATTATTTGCAAGACTACAAACCGTTTTATTACTTAATATTAAAGAAAAAAGTAAGCGTAATTAGTTATATTTCTGTGTTCTTAGGAAGGTAACTGGATCAAAGCAAATAAGAGAACGATAGAAATATGTAATGTAAATTCATATTATGTAGAGCATACTATTGCAGAATTTGTATAGCTTAAGATAATTTCAATAGCACGTATGGTTAATGAGACTTATAAAATTTATAACTTTTATAAGTGCTGAAGTGATCATAATATTTGTAGTAAGGACTTCTTTAAAGAATTTTAAAAACCTTACGTCCTAACTTATTATCTTAACTATCTAAATTTCCGTAATACCTTTTTA